AAAGTCGTTCGTACTGTCAAGTATCCAATAAAGGTGAATGTTTGGGGGTGTTTCTCAAGTAAGGGCTTCGGTCGTATCGTCTGCTTTCGACAGAACCTTGATGCAAGATTCATGTGTACTATTTACAAGCACGGTCCCTTGTCAACAGCCTACAAACAATTTGGTCGTGACTCGACGTCCTGGAAACTGCAAGAAGACAATGATCCCAAGCACATGTCAAAACTTGCCAATAATTGGAGAGAAGAAAAACGAATCGAAAGAATTGATTGGCCGTCAATGTCTCCCGACCTGGCCCCCATTGAGAACGTTTGTCAACNCTCATCAATCTTTGGTCTCGGCAATAAAGCGAGAATGGAAAGCCCTACCACAGGAATTAGCCATAAGACTTGTTGACAGTATGAAAAATCGAATCTGTGAAGTTGTTGAAAGTGATGGTGATTTCATTTTACATTAATGATCAGGATAGACTCTTAGCTTCTATATAATAAAAAAGTTTTTATTTGATCATCACTCTTTGTAAAGAAATAGGTGGGTGGAGACTTTTGTCCGCTATTATATGAAGCATTCTGCACGATAATGATCCTCTTCACAAATACAGAAATAATTCAAATCACGAAAACAAGTCAACGTCATATTTGTATTTTGTTTTGCTCGGCAAATATGATGATAAAAAAAGATTGATGTTCAAGAATTAAATGTGTTATTTTCAATATTCCCTACAAAAAAGAAGTTTTATCAGACAAATATGTCGATCATGTGAGAAAAAAGACTTGAAAATAATAACATGACTGAAAGATTCGCTTCACATCGTCTGTCATGCATTTTATTTTACCTTTTGTGTCAGTTGTCGGAACTAAATGCCATAATGTTTCCACTAATGGACAATGATTTTCTGATCAGAGACCGGCGGTACGCGGTACCAACACCGTACCGTCTCGTCTCGTCCCGGTACGGTACGGTATGCGGTATTAGATGGCTATACCGCACTCCCGCGCCATAGTCAGAAGAAGCCTTTTAACAATTATTTTCGAGGATATGTATCATAGTTTTTTCATTCGCGTTTAAATCTTGCCAGGAATTCAATAAAACTAAACATTTCTCCCTCTTTTATTCTCATCGTTTATATTTCTTGTTCTGTTATCAAAAACAAACGAACATTAATTCGATCCTAATACATCAGATTATGATGTCAGTGAACTATCATCATTGTCGTATATTTACAACCAATTGATATCAATAAATGCTGTAAGAGAAAGTTTATCATCACCAACATTTTGCTTTTTCTGGTTAATGATATTGTTTAATGAAAAGCACAGATAAGTAAGTCATCGACTCTTTTACTGAAACCAAGCTAAGGTACGTCTTGAATGGCATCAAATCTTTTGACGTGGCTTAGTTTAGCTAAAAAGTGAACGTCGCGTCCTATCTTTATCTCCACAATTCAGTCTACAAATACGTCTGTAGCTCTTAGTTTCAATTATTAATTTATTTAAAACTTGAAATTAAAACGAAAATAAATAAAATATCAGAGATTATATATGTATATATATTTGCATTTTTGACCGTTACTTTTCCGTACCTGATTGAAAATATAATCATTTAATGATTCAACAGTTTTTAATGCGCAATAGGATTTCACATATTATTATCGATAATCCAAATTATCAAAATCATGTAATTCTAACTATTGCTAACATTCATTTGCTTTTTTCCACGAAGTTCAATATTACTGACGTTTCTGAGAAATTTTTAAATTTTGTTTCACACAAGAGTTGCTTAACAATATTCATAAGTTTCAAACAGCAACATATCTCTCAACAAAGATAACTGAATTAAGTGATAAAAAACGATCCCACCATGTCTTTATNAATCGTTTTCAATTCTATTTTCAGATAATTACTAAGGGCTGAAGAATTCGAGTAATTAATCTGTGAAATGGTAGCCGTTTATTGTTGAATTAAAATTAATTCACATTATATACATACTTTTACTCATCTTGCTTGTAACAAAATTCGTCATATAGTAAAAGAAAATGTATCTTGCCAAAATCTTTTATAACGCTTTTATTATATATGAATAATATTAGTCCATATATTTGAAGTGATATTATATACTTCAGAATTTGGACAAGATGTACCATCATTATCATAACCACCAGTTACTAGAACCATCTCAGAAGTGAACAGTTATTGCAATCTGTTGAACACGTTTATGTGACATGCTAGCGATTGATTTCCATTCTTCTGTCGTATGATTATATATTTCACATAACATTATATAATCATCAAAATAATTATGACCACCTGTGATCAAAACTAAACCAGAATGTAGTAAAGCGGCTACATGTCCTGAACGTTCATCGATCATACTGTTTACTTGAGTTCATTGACTAGTTTGGGGATTATAAATTTCACAATCATTTATACTCCATGGATTGTCATAACCATCTGCGACTAAAACTTCACCCGATGATAATAAAGTCGCAGAATGTTGAGAACGAGCATGTCGCATACTATTAGTTATAATCCATCGATCCGATGAAAACATATATACTACACTAACTGATATTTGATCCTATGCACCTGATTCACCTGTAATCAACACGTCACCCGATGGTAATGCTGTGGATGTATGCTGAGTACGATATGAATAGAACTTATCAACTGGATTCCAAGTATTCGATGAAGGATCAAAAATATCACCAAACCATTCGCCCACACTACCAACTAGAAGAATTTTACCAGATGGTAACAATGTACTTGTATGTTGAAAACGAATCGATGATATATTTCCACTTGATAACCATTTATCCGATATAGGATCGTAGATTTCAGTTTCAAGAAGTTTATCTCGACCATTACCACCAGCGACTAATACCTTCCCAGATGGTAGTAAAGTAGCAGTATGAAAAAAACGTGCATATGACATACTATTCACTGTTGCCCATGTATTACTTGGAGGATTATAAATTTCACAAGTTTTCATAGAAAATCTGTTATTGAATCCACCTGTAACTAATATTTCTCCTGATAATAATAAAGTAGCAGTATGTTGTGAACGTGGTTCAGACATATTTCGAAGTGTAGTCCATCGATTAGTTGTAGGATCATATATTTCACAGCTGGATAAAGAATTCATACCATCAAAACCACGAATAACTAAAATTCTTTCAGATGACAGAAGAGTAGTTGTATGTAAACGACGTTCAGTGGACGTTGGAGCAACGTGAGTCCATTTATTAGATGCTGAATCGTACATTTCACAGGTTGATAAGTCTTTTTTACCATTCGAACCTCCAATAACTAGAATATTTTTTTATGGTAATAAAATAGCAGAATGTTGATAACGAACTGATGCCATTTTTGTAACATTCGTAATATTATTACAAATAAGATCATATATACGACAAAGAGCGACAATTCGACCATTTTCTTGACCACCTGAAATTAAGATTTGTTCATTGAATAATAAAGTAGTTGTATGTAAAGTAAGTGGTGGTATAGTAGTTAGATTAATATTCCATGTATCTGAATGAGTATCGTATAACATAGAAGTGGATGTTACATCCCGAGAATTCGAACCACCTAATAATAATACAGATCCTGATGATAATAGAGTTGCAGTATATTGAAAGTATACATCAGGATACTCACCAGCTGAATTCCATTTGTTTGATGATGAATTATATAAGACAGCAAATGGATCATTTACTCCACCTGTAATCAATACTTTTTGAGATGGTAATAAAGTAGTTGTATGACTTGCACGTGCTACTGATATATCAGTACAATTACACCATTTATTAGATATAGAATCATAGATTTCACAACTAAGCGTAGCACTAGAATCAAGTGAATCAAGATCACCTGTAACTAAAACATGACCATATGGTAAGAGAGTAGCAATATGTGCAATACGTGGAATCCACATCGAGACAACTAATGTCTAACTATTTGATGATGGATCATAAATTTCACAGGTAGATTGAGGTTGATCTCCATCATAACCACCAACGACTAAAATTTTACCAGAAGGCAACATAGTAGCTGAATGATAAGCACGTGGAACAAGCATATCAGCAATCTCAGTCCATGTATTATTCATAAGATTGTACATTTCACTGGGATGGTAATAAAGTTGCTGTATGTTGACCACGATTAAAAGTCATTATGGCAGCGCTAATCCATGTATTAAGAAGAGGATCATAGATATCACATTAGCATAAAGCTGAGTCGGGTTAACCACCTCCAACAACTAGAACTTTTCCAGATTTGAGAACAGTGACTGTATGCCAACAATGTGGATGTGGCATATCAGGAACAGAAATCCATGTATTCGATGATGAATCATACGGATCACTTTTATTCAAACCTCGAAGATTATTTCGAATACCTCCAGTCAATAATATCATACCTGATGATAATAAAACACCTCGATGTTTAGAACGAGGTGGATCCAAAGTAGGTACCACTTTCCAGGTGTCAGAAGAAGACAAATAAATTGCAGCAACAAAAAATAAGGATCTAAGAGATACTTCATACAAGTCATAGGAAAAAGCATGATTTATCATGACTTACATAGATTGTAATCTGGTTCTTCGTAACTTGCACCTCCTGTTATAAAAACATCTCCATTTTGTAATTGAGTAGCATCTTGTCGCGTCACATAGAGTGGAGCAATTGAACTTTTTACCAAACAGAGTATAAATAATAAGCAAAGTATTTTATATAACATGATAAATAACTTAAATAGAATCCTTTGAAAGATTGAAAATATATATTTATATGTAAGGTCGCTACAAAAAAAAGAACTAGGTTATTTTGTCAAATTAATTGACTTTAAATAAGCAGGAAAAAAACACTTTTTTTCTAACAAAAATACAAAGAACATTAAAAAGATGTAAATAGTAGATTTTTTACTCGAATAATGTTGCAAGATAAGATAAAGGTATTCTTTTCATTGACAGTTTTATTATACCACTGTGGGTTTCTTAATAAAATATGAAAATGAAGAAAAATATTGTCTCATGCATATTCTGATTTGAAAAAGTACATCAAAATAATAGACTATATGAGTGAATAAAGGTGAAACAACATTTTTGTATGTTGAAGATAATAGAATTTTTCTTTTTGTTAACTGATATGAGAATAATATACAAATATAGCTAGATTTAAAAGAGAATTTATTCATTTATCAATATGAATACAAATACAATCTATACAAAACGATGGCATCATCGTTGGATTTTGATTGTCAGCATTTCTCTTATCACTTTAACAATTATGGCATCCATTTGTTTTCTATTGATAAATTCTGTCATTTTTTCTTCGAAACAACGTGACAGTAACGTTGCATTCAGTGCAACATTGCCCCGAGTCAAACGATCTATAGAATAAGTCATTCCAAATCGAGGACCATACAGGTAAGATTTAAATTAGTATTATCCAATGTAAAGATTTGTCTATCTAGGATGGACTTATACCTTTTGAGTTATACGATCCATTATCAGGAAACTGTACAGTAACTGGTAGTATGAATAATGCACGATATCGACATACAGCTGTCGTACTGAAAAATGGACAAGTATTAGCAATGGGGTGGAACGGATAACATTGCCGAGATTTATGATTCATCAAATGGAACTTAGGCAAGTGTTGATAATATGAAAGATGGACGAATGTTTGCTGCAGTAATTGTATTACCAAATGGAAAAGTTTTAATTACTGGTGGAGAAGGTTTTCTCAGTAGTGCTGGATTGTATGATCCAACAACTGGAATCTGGACATTGACTGGTACTATGAATACTGCACGAATGTCACACACATCAACTGTTTTACAAAATGGAAATGTTCTAGTTGCCGGAGGATTTACTGCTACGAATAGTGCTGAAGTATATACTCCATTAAACAAATTAAAAAACCATTAAACTTTTGTTTGAATATCATTCATAGAATAAAATATATTTTTGAAATTTGTAAATAAATGATGATGTTACAATACGATTATAAAAACGTCTTTTTTAATTTTGTTAATCATAAACAAATGTTACAAATGTGAGTATAGTAATGTACATTCCGAAAATTGCATCTGAAGGTAATTAGGACATTGTAGATTGTATCGATAGTCAATCTTCCTTGAGAGTGTGAGTGCAGATTCTATATCCACATTCTCACCTTCTTTTTGAAAAATATTTTAGGCGAGAAAATGGTCTTATCAGTATTTATAAAAAGAGGAAAAAAAACGTTGTCGTTGATATCGATGTATATTATCTTTAGTTGTTCTTTATTCTTGTCAGTTGTTGCGAACTATGCTGAATAGTATTATTTACATTTGTAAGTATACAAGTCAAATTAACCTAAGTATTTTTTCAAGAATTTTTCTTTCTTTATTAAGTTACTCTCGTATTCTACTTCCATGTGTCTATAGAATCGATTGAGATTAGTCCTTGTGCTAAGTGGGATCCAAATGGTAAAACAGTAGCGGGTACAGGTATCAGTGGTGCTGGAGCAACTGATTTGTCTATGCCGAAAGGAATTTTCATGTTGACAAGAACTAATACATTATATGTAGCTGATTTTGGTAATCAACGAGTTCAAATGTTTTCATTAAATACACCTCACGGTTCAGGTACAACTGTGGCATTTGATATTAATTCTCCTTCAAAGATTTATGTTGATGAAGATGATGATGACGGACCATCAATATACGTTTCGGTTTTTATTGGAAATCGAGTAGAAAAATGGACGAAAGGAGCATTGAAAGGTATTCAACTAGGTGATGAATGTCGATCATGTTTTGGTATAGCAGTTGATGAAGAAAAGAACGTCTATATGTCAGAATCGGATCGACATCGTGTAATCAAATGGTTACGAAAAACAAATTTGACAGAAGTTGTTGCTGGTCAAACGGATGAGAGAGGAAATGGAAATGAATATCTTAGTTCACCTGATGGGCTTTATTTTGATCGAACTACTGATGATTTATATGTGGCCGATTCAGGAAATGCTCGAATTCAAAAATGGAAAAAGAATGCTTTCTCAGGCGTTGAAGTTGCTGGATCGAACTGGACTGATTGGGCTCATGATACTGAAACTTTAGCTTCACCCAATGGTGTATGGGTTGATGAACAAACAAAAATTGTGTATATATCTGATACAAGTCATCATCGAATCATGCGTTGGATGCCAGGTGCACTTGTGGGTGTTGTCATTGCTGGTGGAAACGGTATGAATCTAAACTATCAGCAGATATATATTATGCTTTTAGAATCAAATTTTGAGCAAGACACCAGTTTTTGATGTGCAAAATAGTAATCATCTTTAGTTAAATATCAAATGAATCGAATTTCTACTTTATATGATAATTTCTTTTTGCAATAAAATAGGTGAAGGCAATGCATCAAATCAATTCAATACACCAACAGATTTGACATTCGATCGAGAAGGAAATCTTTATGTATGTGATAATTGGAACCATCGAATACAAATGTTTTCAATCATTGAGAATAAACCATGTCATCCTAGTTCAATAGGTAATCATCATTGATTTTATTAGAATTAACAAAAACACTTTTCTTTTATTCAATAACAGGAAGTAGTTTATATCGTAATCGATATATGAATTCGATAATGATCATCACAATCTTGTCTATAGTGGCATGGGTCATCGAAAAAAGATTTAATTCTTTCGTTCTTACGTCGCGTTAACTATGATAACTTTTAAATAAACTTTGATTACCCTTTTTTTTTGAGAATGTGGGTGTAGGTGGATGAAGAGATTAATGACACCCACACCCTTCTTATTGAAAATAATACAAATTGATATTTTCTTTATGAAAGAGATCCTTAGTGTAAAGACTATCAAAATCATCAACATTTTATATTAACTAAATAAAAAAGAAAAGCCTCCTACCTCAGTACTTCGTAATGATGAAATGTCATCTAATAAGCAAATAAACACGGTAAGAAAATAGAAAATAAAACTGCACTGTTATCAAATAGAATGATAAAGATATCCCAACATTTACTTTGAAAATTCACTTCACCTTTCGGTACGTATCAGAGACCGGCGGTATGCGGTACCAATACCGTACCGTCTCGTCCCGGTACGGTACGGTATAGGAAAAGAAAGAAGTGAGGCGGTACGGCACGGTATGCGGTATTAGATGGCTATACCGCACTCCCGCGCCATAGTCAGAAGAAGCCTTTTAACAATGATTTTCGAGGATATGTATCATAATTTTTTCATTCGCGTTTAAATCTTGACAGGAATTCGATAAAACTAAACATGTCTCCTTCTTTTATTCTCATCTTTTATATTTCTTGTTCTGTTATCAAAAATGAACGGAAATTAATTGGATCCTAATACATTAGATTACGATGTCAGTGAACTATCAATATTGTCGTATATTTACAACCAATTGATATCAACAAATACTGTAAGAGAAAGTTTATCATCACCTACTTTTTGCTTTTTCTCGCTAATGACATTGTTAAATGAAAAGCACAGATAAGTAAGTCATCGACTCTTTTACTCAAGCTAAGCCAAGGTACATCTTGAATGTCTTCAAGTCCCTTGATGTGGCTTGGTTTAACTAAAAACTGAACGTCGCGTCCTATCTTTAGCTCCATAATTCAGTCTACAAATACATCTGTAGCTCTTAGTTTAAAATTGTTAACTTATTTTAAACTTGAAATTAAAACGGAAAGAAATAAAATACCAGAAATTATATATGAATATATATTTACATTTCTGACCGTTACTTTTCCATGCCTGATAAAAAATATAATCGTTTAATGATTCAACAGTTTTTAATACGCAATAAGATTTCACATGTTATTCTCGATAATCCAAATGATCAAAGTCATGTAACTCTAACTATTTGCTAACATTCGTTTGCTTTTTTCCGCGAAGTTCGATAATAATGATGTTTCTGAGAAGTTTTTAAATTTTGTTTCACACAAGAGTTGCTTAACAATATTCATAAGTTTTTTTACAGCTCATCTATTCTTTTGAATGCTGAAGATAAAATATGGAATCGATTGCAAATCGCTCAAAACAAATCACTTAGAGCCGCTCTCGGTCTACCTCATTTCATCTCAGCTACATAGATACATAAAATAACTAACATACCATTTATCCGATCATATGTCAGAAACCTTACTGAAAAAGCACTCGTACGTAGTAAAATACTAGAAGATACGATAACCCAACAAAATATCAATTCTATACTCAATCCACCACAATAAGTTCAACACATCATCCACATCTATTTCTTTTTTTCTTTTCCTTTTTTCCTTGCTAACATTTTTCTTTCCATTTTTGTTTTTCCTTATCTGATTCTTTGCTAAAAGCAAAAGACCGGCGTGTCAAGAGCTTTCACTAGCTTCAAGGTTAATTTAATTTCAGTAAACCTTTTGCCACCTCATATTCATAAGTTTCAAACAGCACCATATTTCTCAACAAAGATAAATGAATTAAGTGATAAAAAAACGATCTCACCATATCTTCATCTGAGACTTCATCACCTTCCCAAAAATTGATTTTTCTATGTAGTCACTCCAAAACTGTCTGATTTCTTAGTGCTCATTCTAAAGAAATAAAAACACTTAATAGTGCAACAGATATAAAATCTTTTGTTATGATGATGATGGTTTTCG